CCACCTGAAGCTGAAGCTGAATAATACTGTATGTCCACTACAATTATATATATATATATATATATATATATATATATATAGTCACAGGATGTGGAGTACAGCACAGGGGTCACTTTGTGAGGAGTGTAAATGTCGAACTATTATACTGTTTTGTACACCTGAAACTAATTTTAACAATAAAGTTTATTCTACCCTATGTTCATTGCGGTGTTATTCACAATAGCTAAGACTTGGACACAACCAAAATGCCCATCGGTAGATAACTGGATTAAGAAACTTTGGTACATTTACACAATGGAGTATTACTCTGCTATAAAGAAGAAGGAAAGAGGACCATTTGCAACAATATGGATGGAACTAGAGAACATGATGCTAAGTGAAATAAGTCAGTCGGAGAAAGACAAATATCATATGATCTCACTTATATGTGGATTCTAAAAAACTGAATAAATGAGAAATGTAAACAGAAATAGTCTCAGAGATACAGAGGAAAAACTGAAAGTTGCTAGATGGGAAGGGGTGGGGATGAAGGAGAAGGGGAAGGGACGAGACAATACAAATTGGTAACAACAATATGGCCTCAGGGATAGAAAAGACAGTCTGAGGAATATAATCAATAATGTTGAAAATATATTTTAGGGGCCAGATGGACTCATGTCTTGTTAGGGAGACCGCTTCATAGTCAGTGTAGAGGCCTGACCACCGCACTGTATATCTGAAGCTGATGCTGAATAATAATGTATGTCAACTATAAAAAAAAATTTTCTAAGTTTATTCTAAAATAAACCAAGCAATTCAATAGAGAAATAGGCAAAAGAATTAAACAGATGCTTCAAAAAAGATATCCCAGTAGCCATTAAACATTTGATAAAGGATGCTGAACCACACAAGTTATTAGGAAAGTGAAAATGAAAACCCACATGAGAGAAAGCAGTCTCATCCCAGAAGTGGTGGGCCAGCTTGTACCACACTAACCCTTTGCAAATAGCAGTTATAAACTCTGGAAAGACTGTTTTTGAAAGAGAAATGACTTGAAGGCCCTGGGGACTGACCAGAAGCAAGCAGAAAATGCAGCCACCCTGGCTAGAGGGGTCCAGGTTGCATTTCAAGAGCAGCTGGGAATTAAGGGGAGCTGTCCAGAAAAGGATGGAGCCACAGAAGGGGAACCCCAAGGTCTGCATGTAAACTCGACTCACATCCATGGCTGGTCCCTCAACTGGGCATGTGCAGAGGAAACGCCCAAGTCCCCGCAGAAAACCCCAGCTGGGAGGCGGAAAGAACTGAGGAGACGTGAGCTGCTGCACCCTCACAGGAGGCTGGCTATGGACTCCGAGTCCCGTCAAGCTGCCTCCTGACACCTAATAAGATTATGTTTCCAAGGGAGGAGATAAAATCCACAGTCTGTATGGCATCTCATCCATAGCATCCAGTGTATGTTCAAAACTTCCTAATATGCAAAGAAATAAGAAAATGTGACCCATGGTAAAAATATACAGTGTTCAATGGTGATCAACCCACAGATGACTACTAGACACAGACTAATTCTCAGACAAGCTCGTTAAACCAGCCATTGTATGTATGTACAAAGACTTATAGGAAAATGTGTTCATAATGAATTAATAGAGAATTGCTACGGAAAAATCTAAGCTGTTTACAAGAACCAAAGGAAAATTCTAGAACAACAAGGTACAATTTTGAAAATTTTTAAAGACTCACTTTGTGAGTTAACAGCAGATTGGAGAAGGCATAAGTGGTCAGAAGACATAAATATATATTAACAGAAAATGTTTTGAAACCAATCCAAAGAATAGCAAGAGAAATACTGGGGAAAAATGAAAAGAGACTCAGTAGACAATACGAAGCATTCAAAAATGTGTGAAATTGGAGTCCCACGAGAAGACAAGTGAGAGAAGGGGGCAGAAAAAGTCTTTGAAGAAATAAAGACTGCAAGTTTCCCAGTGTGGTGATAATATCCATTTGCAGGTTCAAGGTTCACCAATTCCTGATGATAAACAGGGTATGATGGTCCGTCCCTATGCACTTCATATCAAACTGATGAAAACCAGAGCCAAAGAGCTACCTTGAAACTGGCCAGAGAAATGACACATACGTACAGAGAACAAATATATTTGGCTTTTCATTGGAACAACTGGTGGCCACAAAACAGAACTAATAGAATGGTATCTTTAGAGTGGGAGGAGCTTCCAAAGATGTTTGCAGATGTAATTGGGCAGAGGATCTTGAGACGAGATCACACAGATTTCAGTTGGGTCCCAAGTCCAATGACCAGTGGCCTTAACAGAAGAGACGACACACAGAGACACACAGGGCAGAAAACCATGTGAAGACACAGCCAGAGGTTGGAGTGCTGTCAGTAGCCACCAGACCCTCCCTGGGAGCCTTCACGGGGAGCTTGGCTCTGCCCACACCTTGATTTTGGATTTCTGGCTTCCAGAATGTGAGGAATGAACTTCTGTGGCTTTCAGCCACCACATTTGTGAGACTTTATTACGGGAGCTGCAGGGCACTCACACAGCTGGTGACAGACTTCTCCAGCTTCCAAGTGCAAGCCGTGGGGCGAACAGCTGAAGTTTGACCACACAGAAATTTAGAGCTTCTGTTAAGTGAAGGACACAATAAGCAACATGAGTAAACAGGGGATAACCAGGAGCAGGTCATCGCAAGTTCAAAGCTCAGCAGGACTGGCGTCCAGAATGACTGCCTTGCAGACTCCCAAGGAGGTGCTGAGAAAACCTTTGCAGACGTAGGAAGAGTGATGGTGAAGATGTGCATATGGCTCCCTGGCATCTGAAGAGACACTCGAGCTCACAAATAATGGGAGCATTTAACTTAGAACAGGAGACACCACGTTGCCACCTTGAATAGCACCCTTGCTGGAGAGGCAGGCACGCGGCTGGAGGCAGGGGCCGTGGGCAGGGCCATCCTAGGTGGAGAGGATGGCAGGAGGCCTGTGGTGGGTCCTCCAGGCCCAGGAAGGAGCGGTGAGAGGTGGGGCCAGGCCTGCCCTGGGGCACAGAAGCTATGTGGGGGGACTGGAGCATCCACAGGCCTGCATTTGGGGGTCACAACCAAGGTCAACAAGGGGGCCGGCTGGCTTCACTGCCCAGGAGAACGCTGGGGCCTGCCCCCAGCACAGGCATCGGCAATGGGCCCACCGCTAAGTCCAGTGTGGGAGGGCCCAACAAACCTCGGCAGCCTGGCTCCCTCCAAGTGTTCTGTCAGTCATAGCCAGCGTTGGTCCCCGGTCAGCCCACAGGCCTCCAAGGAGGTTTCACACTGCCCAGGCGCAAAGCCCACCTGTCTGGCCAGGCCCCATCTAACCTCCTCCCAGGCCCCACTCCCAGCTCCTTAGAAACTTC